CCCACCCACTCCCCAGGCCCGAGGCACAGGTCAGACGTTCTGCTCCGGGTGGTGCCCATGGTCACGGGCGAGACCGAGGTCAGTGTGGCCTGAAGGAAGCGGAGGCAGAAAGAGAACGCGCGCCCGGGGCCTGGGAGCTCGCGCTCCAGGAGCAGGAGCCCGAGGGCCAGACCCAAGTCACGCAGGGGCCTCCCCTCGCCACGCTGCCCTTCCTTCCGCAGAGAAACCCTCGCCGTTACCATAGCAACTGAGGCACGAACCTGGACACTTTTCCCCATAAGATAACGTGACATGTGCTCATCATGGGAAAAAAAGCCACTAGGCACAGCCCACCCCCAAATGTTTATTTCCCTCCTCTCCTGGGAGGCTTTGGGATCGATTTCTCTCCCCTTCTCTCCATAAATAAACAAATGAACAAACAGGCTGTCTGAAAACCAGAGGACACGTGGGATTTGTTTTTGAAAAGCCAAGTGAGATGCGTCCCTTTTCTGAAAGGAAAAGGACGGAGGCTTTGAGGTAGAAGGGGACAGAGGAAGAAAGGGGGTGGCATGACCGGAGGCCGTGCGAGTCCTAGTGTGGAAACGTGGGTTCGAGGAGAAGCCGGTGGGGCCCCACGGGGACCAAGGAGATCTGCTGACAAAGCTGCCTGTCCCAGGGACACGCGACTCCCCAGCACGAAGCCGTCCGGGGCGCCCCCCGGGACCCTGACGCAGGAGGCAGAACAACGGCCGCCCGCTGACGTCCCCTCTTCAGCCGTGAGGTTCGGCCACGCGACCCGAGCCGGTGACGGACGGTGAAGGAAGAGGAAAGAATGCTGGTCTCCCCAGCAGGTCACACCTGCCGTGTGCAAACTCCGGTAAGAAGCTCCGCACATCATTGCATAAGACGGAGAGAAGGGGGGGTGCCCTTCACCCCGAGAGTGTCCTGTGAAAACAGTGACGTGGGCCGGGAAGCCAAGCGGCCCCCGCAGCCGGGCTCAGACGAGCTCCGAGTCTGTCACCGAAACCCGTGGCTAAGGAGCCGGGTGGAGAACTTGACCTGAAGGGGTCAGTTCCAGGTTGGGGGGGCGGGGAGAAGGGGGTGGCGGTGACCTTCGGCTTCTCAGGCGCCAGCCACTGAGAACCCTGTGTTTCAGGCAAGACCCGGGTCTCGCCTGAGCGGCGGGCCTTTCCCACCTGCACCAGCGCGCGGTTGAGAATCACCTCCTTTCCTACGCCTGTTGTCCACAAAACCACCGAGGCATCTCCGCTTGCAAGGTGACACCAGCGAGCACCAGTGACCGTCCCTCACCACGGCCCTGCTGAGCGTGTGGTGGGCACAGTCCACAGACTGCCCGAAGGGATGGAGACTGATCACGCCCATTCCACAGAAGCAGAAACTGAGGCCCAGGCAGGGGAACGGCTGGCCCAGATCCCAGTCAGCACCTGCAGGGAGCACCCGCCCCTTGGCCCGGCAACCCCTCTCCAGGAACCTAGGCTACCTGGAGATAACACTCACTCGGCCGTTCCCGTCACAGGGAAACAATGACAAGCCACGTGAGAATTTGTGGAACTTCAGGCAGCTGCCGACTTTCTAAGACCCTCGGAGAAAATGCTCCGCTGGAGTATGACGTGCACAAAAGCAGGGCCCGAAAGCCGTGCATGAATCACCCCGGAGATGGTGGGAGTGCGTGCTGGCCCCCGCACCCGGGCAGGGAGGACACAGCCCCTCGAGGCCCCTCTGCAGCTGGGCGGGGCCACCAGGAACACTTCTGTCTTTACGATAAACTCTCCAGAGAAAGGGATGTTCAGGCTGCAGCCGCGTAGAAGCCGCCGCAGAAAGGAGAGCCGACCTGGACAGCTGACAGGGTCCCTGTCGGGGGCCCAGGTGCAGGGGAGCCTGACATGGAAGTGGTGTGACGGGGCCTGACCGAGTCCTGCTTCCACAACGCCCACCAGAAACTCGGCCTCTGCGTCGCCGTGTGGCTGCGGGAGCCCCCAACCCCCAGGACCCCTACGTACCCGTTTATGGTCCTCCAGTTGCCTCAGGGGCGGACTCGGCTCGGCCTCCTGCTAAACACGCAGAAATCCCGTCTTAAGTGCAGGCGGGAGCCGCGGGGTCTTGGGCATCGGCCCCCAGCCCCGGGCACCCGGGGCTCACAGAGCCCAGATTACACAGAGGACACTCTCTCCCAATGGACATTAGCGCCCGGGCACGCGGGACAGCGCCTCGCCCGGCACCCACCCTGCTCTGTGGAAAACGAGCGACACACGGATGTTTGGCCAACACTTTTTTTTTGCAAAGCCGATGAAATGAAGTTCTACATTATGTATCTGTGCATAACGCAAACTCAACCGGGCAGGTCCCGCGGCTCAGACATGCATCCCCGCATGGCACATGCGTGAGAACATCCACGAGACACGCCAGCAGACACGGACACGGAGCGTGGCTCTCCCCGGCCCACCAGCGCCCACATTTTCATCGACGGCGAGCAAGAGCCCGATGAGAATACGAGACGCTGCTGGTTAGGAAGCCACACGTGGCCCCCCACTCCCGCTCTCACTTGGGGTTTCGGGAGGTTTCTTGGCAGCAGATTGGGAGCCTGGACCATATGCCCCCCCAGGCTTCTCTGTGGCTCTGGGCGCCCTGAGTCCAGCCCCTCCCTTAGCGAGCGTGGTCGGCGCCAGGGCCGAGAGCATCTGAGACCCGGCTCTACACGCAGCCCCTTCAGGCCCAGACTCGGGGTGCGCATCCTCCCTGCCCGGGACCCAGAGCCTGTTTCATGGCCGGACAGGGCTGCGTCCCAGGTCCCGAGGGAGCAGTGGAGGCTGCAGTGCTGGGCGCGGGCCTTCAGGCCTCCCCCGTCCCTGCAGGGGCCTCGGGTGTAGCCCCAGCCCCTCGGGACCTTTTCCTACCCCGAGAGCCACCCCAGTCCCCGGCCAGGCCACAGACTGTCTCCCCCAAACCCCCACTCCTGTCCGGACAGACACACATGTCTCCATGACAACGCAGACACTCAGGACAACAGAGGAGCCCCCGCGCTGCCGTCCCGCAGACACGGGGAGGGGCGGGGGGTCGCACACACCTCTGTGGAGCTCTCGGGGTCCGGGGCCTGCGGCAGCTGGTCAGGGAGGAGAGAGCAGGTTAGTGAGGGCACGCGCCGGGCCACGGAGACACCGGGCCACGGAGACACCGGGCCACAGAGACACCGGGCCACAGAGACGCTGGGCCACAGAGACGCCGGGCCACAGAGACACCACACCGGGCCACAGAGACGCCGGGCCACAAAAGATTGCCGGGGCCACGGAGACGCCGGGCCACGGAGACACCGAGACCGGACACTGAAGGGAACCGCATCAGCAGCAAGGGCACAGCGAAGGAGGCTTGTTGCCCACTCAGGGGGCGCCACTGAAGGGGAAAACCCTCTTCCTTGTTACC